TCCGACCCAGTTCCTGTTTTAACCTCCTGACTTGGATGGATCGCCTGGTCATGGACTCATGCTTATTCTTGTTTTTGGATATCTCTTTGGACTCTTCCTGGATTGTTTGCCTCGGCCACACCTTCCCCGTACACCAGCGCACCAAGGACACGCTCCTTGTCTCCATTCCCGTCTCCTGCTTTTCCCCCAGTGTTTCCTCACTACTCCAGATTGTGTCGTCTGCATAGGGCCCGGAAAGAACTGTTCCTGACAAAAGCCTGGTCTTGGAACAGATCACTGTGAAGAGATGGAATGCTGGTTTGGTGAGAGTAGGGGGCAAGGAAACCAGGGAGTAGGAGAAGGAAAGACAAAGAGATACTGAAAAAGACCTAGCGGAAGGCATAGCGGGTCACAAAAAGGTTTATTCCATGCTAAAAAACTTAAAGAAATACAACGGTAGAGCCTCACCTGAATAAGGCTCCATTGCCAAAATATTGTGTCTGCTTTCTTTTCATTCCAGGATGGAATAAACCTTTACTTGGTCCTTTGCAGTCAACCAGCCTTTGTATGCTGATGCAGATACCTACTTAAAATGAATCTAGCTCATATTTGTGCTCTTAACTAAGTTGCAGGCTTCCATCACTAAACACTGGAGGTACTGTACTGTATGTATCCTGCCGCAGGTATGTTTATATTTAATCTTAAGTTGAAAACACCATTCAGACAAAAATAGAAAAATGACTTTCCCAACTCGCACTCCATTATTTCTGTTATTCTGTTATTCCTAGCAGGTTACATTATTGTATTCAATTTCCTTGTCTGTCCTATGTAGTTCAATTTTTCTCTTTAGTCTCACATCTTCCCATAGTCTTGGTTCTCTCTCTAGTCTCAAATCTTTCTGTATTCCATTCTACAGTTTAAATTCTGTGCTAATGCTATATCAATATACAGCTTCCTGGATGCGGCAGCCTTCTCTGACCCTACACTTCTTCCTAGTTGATAGACGTGTTCACAGCCAGCTCAATAGTCGATTGATATACTGTAAGCTGGAACATTACACACAGCTATTCCCTGCATCTGTGTGGAAATGACTGCTGATGTTCTCCTGCAGCCATCTGCAGGCAAAAATGTTGAGAGAACAGGGTAACGTTGTTGGGGAACTACTGTACCATTCTTCCTCCACAATGCCCATCACAGCATCACAATATTTATTTGACATAGTATTTTCATGCAAATAAAAATCCATTATGAAATGAGTCTTCTAGTGTTTACACCAAAAAACAATAAAACATCCTCCCCAGGCTGCTATCAAACACTCAAACAAGTGAGAATGATGAATTAACTAACCCCAACAATCTCAATAAATCAACTCATTATCACCTAATGTGAAAGAGGACATTTTTGTGGCCTCTAGTGGGGGGGAGGGTAGTTACTTTATTTTCCTCTGTTGCATTTTTCATCAATCTACTGTATGTGCTTTAGTGCTGATTCTAGGAAGCTATTGTGTTTCATTTGTCAGACAAAGATATTTTACTATTCCATAAATGTCTTACAGTTTTATGTAGCAATGCCACATTTGGTGTCATTTTATATGGTGTCATTATATATGAAAGCAGCAGCAGGCTTACTCAAGACTTGCCTTTGCCATTTCAGACAACAGCCTTAACCAGGTGGCATTGTTAATTCAGTGATAGAATTCATGTCTGCAAATAGGCTAACATTTCTTCCATCCAACCATTTTCTAACCACTTCATCCAATGTAGGGTCACAGGGGTCCCAGAGAAGATCTCGACAAGCAACAGGCATGCCTTTTTCTTCCTTGGCCACTTTTAGTAGCATAATGACCAGTTTTATCCATCAGTTAATTGTGATCTGTTCTCTGTTATGTAAAACAATTAACTTTCTTGAAATTTTAGTTTAAAGGATATCTTTCCATTTGAAGGTTAATTATGAAAATGAAAACATTGCATTTTGGACTGTTTTAGCAGTATTGGTAACTCACTATTTTTACATTCTTCCTCTGTTGTGTTTCAGGATACCTGTTTGAAAAAATCAGGCAATCACATACATGTTTATTCCGGATTGTCAAATGGCTATCACGTTAATTATTTCTGCTTCTGGACATTTTCTACACTCTTGTTTTTAAGAAAGAAATGTGTGTTACACCAGGGAGCTAAGAGCAGAGACCTTTTGGTGGGCAGTGGCTCAAAAGGGGAGAAGGGGCACATTCTGGTGCAGGATTTGTTACATAAAAGTATCCTGGACACAAATCAGTGCCCTTTTGTATTTCTACATTACCGTAGAAATTTAGAAATCACTGTAAATACGTCTCATATAGCCTGTACAGTTTTTGTACAGGCTATATGAGACAGGCTAAGGAACTGGCTTTTTTGATGACAATGTACTGTACCTGTTTGTCTGCCACTAGTTGTGACCAAGTTATGAAGTGATGTACTCCCTTTAGCTGCCTCCCTAAATTCCTTCTTTTTCTTTCTACTTCCTTTTTCTGAAGGCATGCTCTCCTGTTTCTGAGACTGAACAATATGTACAGTATACTGTACAACAAAGAATATGCATGTCAGCTGTTTATATCAGATACAAAAAGACTGGCTTGTCTACTCAGTTAACAAATTTTCTTAAGAAAATTTAGTTAACTAGCCTTGCAGAAGCCAGGCAGAAACCATGCAGAACCCTAGGTAGCCATGCAGACAATAACGTGGCAAGTTCATCGGTTTGCAAACTTAGTATAGGTGAATGAAAATAGTCTTTCTTAAACACAAAATGCTCAATACGACACCCTTGGTGAGTTACTTTTGTACAGTCCTTCTGAAAACTCTGTATATTTTCTCACCATTCAAAAATGCTTAACACGACCTCCACAGGTGTAGTAGCCTACAATACGTTGCTTATCACTGTTTTTTTCTCCGCTTTTTCCAACGAACAGGAGGCGGGCACTTGTGCTCAAGAGAGATCAATTAGGTCCAACTTGTTTTTTTCTAATGGGAGATCCATACTAAATACAGAAGCAGAATCATCAAGTGGCAAAAAAAAATGAAATTGGTTGGACTTTTTTGCTACAAGCAAAAAAGAGTACTTGGGCCAATGAGGGCAAAGGGGCAGGGGTTTGAGCCATTGTAGCCACCCAGCTCTGTACATCCCTGACTGAGAGGGTTCTTAGAAGTGACTGACATATATATGGTTCAGGTAAAATACCATTAATATATTATTTTTGATTCTTTATTTCTAAAACAAATAATTAACTTTCACACCCACTGAGGTAAAATGTGAAAGTAAATAAGATGAGGAGCATCATCTTGGTCTTGGTTCCCTGACACACAAATCACATTTAGTGTCTACGTTTAGTGTCTAATTTTTAATGGATATACATTTTTCATGCAGCTGAGACATGATCATTTCTTTTTACTGTTTAATAACCAAAGAAGGGTCTTCCACAGAATATCAAAATACTACAGTACAACGACATACTGTAAAGAACAATAATTCTCCTAATGGCAAATTAAGGAAAGCTATACAGCCAATGAACAATCAAAGAAAGCATTCCATTAATGTAAAGCAACTGTGCAGTAAATTACACCATACGAAATCTCCCATTATAAAGCAACCACGTATCGATACCAATCAGTGGATATCATAACAGGCTCACATCCCACTTGTGAGGAGCCTGACCCCTCTGAATGCCATATTTCAGCATTGGCTAAGCCAGCAGCCATATCACCCTGCAACTCACAACTGGCAACCCACTGAAGCTAAGCAGGTGTGAGCCTGGTCAGTACCTGGATGAGAGACCTCCTGGGAAAAACTAAGGTTGCTGCTGGAAGAGGTGTTAGTGGGGCCAGCAGGGGGTGCTCACCCTGCTGTCCATGTGGGTCCTAATGCCCCAGTATAGGACACTAAACTGTAAACAGGCGCCGTCCTTAGGATGAGACATAAAACCGAGGTCCTGACTCTCTGGTCATTAAAAATCCATGGGCATTTCTCGAAAAGAGTAGGGGTATAACCTTGGCATCCTGTCCAAATTTCCCATTGGCCCTTACCAATCATGGCCTCCTAATAATCCCCCTCTATGAATTGGCTACATTATTCGGCTCTCCTCCCCACTGATAGCTGATGTGTGGTGAGTGTTCTGGCGCACTATGGCTGCCGTCGCATCATGCAGGTGGATGCTGCACATTGGTGGTGGTGGAGGGGAGTCCCCACCCTCCTTTTTTTGTGTGGAGTGTCCTTTGAGTGGAGTGTCCAGAAAAGCGCTATATAAGTGTAAGCAATTATTATTCTTATAATAACTGCAGATGATAATATAAGTACACAAATTAAAAATTCATTATTATCCAAACTACAGTAACAGCTGCATCTATTATAAGATGTCTTCACTCTACTGATCAAATTATTATTTTATTAGTATCATCATTCTTCATTTTGTGGACAATAACCACTATTTACTGCATCATTTTTCTAGACAGTGACAAAAAGTCCTAGTATTTGAAGAACTATACTCCAATTTCCAGTTAGTATTAAAATTTGTATTGAGGTATTTTTGCAGAGACTTGGAAGAAGCCATTTCTGGCCTCTAATATTAAACAATAAAATACATAATGGTATATTTAAACTAATGTTTAACAATGTTTAACTGTTTTAAATCCTATTAGTTTGGCATTTTTTTAATTAAATCATTTCAGATGATTGAAGCCCACACATCTACTGTATTATTGAACGAGGATATCTAGCACACCAAGATGTGTTGTCACAACATATTACACAACTTCAGATACTCTTCACAAACACAGAACACATTCTGGTGAAGAGCTGCTAAAAAAACAAAGTGCTCTGTTAAAATCACTGTAGTGAAAAAAAAAAAACCTTGGCTGCACTCCCTACTAACACCAGGGGATCTGGAAGCTCAGAAGAAAAAAGGGAGGATCACTGAGCGGCACGTGGAGTAGAAGTATTTCTTAAAGCAGATCTGCCTTCAATTCCCAGTGAACTTGAGCAGCAGGGACGACTGCATCCCAGCTGGTTGGAACAGTGGGATCCGAGGCACAGAGGGACAAGGAGGAGGGCGGCTGCTTTCTTCTAATTATTAGAGGTGAAAGGTGAATGAAAGCTTGCTGTAAGGCAAGTCAAAGTAAAAAAACTGGCATTAACTAACTGACAAATATACAAAAAGAACAGGAGGAGCTTTGGATTTTTTTTTATAGAAGCATCAGAAGAAACTGAAACAAGAAACAAGGGCTGTTCTACAGTATTTGGAAAGAAATCCTCACACTTTCTGGAAGCAAAAAACAGCAATTCAATCAGGTTGAAAAGCTGGAGTAGTATTTCCAAAGATTTTTTTTGTGTGTGTGCTTTGTTTTTAAGTGATGAAAAAAAGAAAGTCACCTCAGCATTACACAAATTATTAATATTTTAAAATAATACGACTTTTGTTTTTTTTACCATTTTAAGTTAAAGAGCTCACATTGAGCTTTACATGCTAGGCGGAGCTCTGTTACAAAATAAATCCGTTAAAAATTAAAAGGGACATCATTTGGTACAAGTTGCAGCCACAGCATGACTGTAGCTGAGAAGAGGTTCATTCTGGTGCTGGTGCATCTTTGGATCCTGTCGAGTGCAGCACTGGCAACAAGAAACAGCCATCCAAGATTAAAACTGTCTCACAAAGGTAGGTGAAGAAATCAGGTGTGATTTATATCGCTCAGAGCACAATCCAAATACCCCAAGCCTTTTTGTGTGCTGAGACATAAAAAATAAAATGTAGGTGCACAAAATTCAGCAACAACAGTACTTGTAATTGTTATGTTTATAGAATTCCACATTTAAAGACCTATTTGTTTCAGTCTTTATATTACCTTGATGAGCTATAGATAATATACTCTCTTTCTGCCTGACTAATTGTTATGGCCTGTCTGCCAATGTAAAATAGAGCATTGAAAATTGACAAATTAAAGAACATATGACATAAGATGAAAGCTTAATTTGTAAACTGTGTGCTATTTCTATATTCTTTCGCTATGCTTTATCAATTTGAGATAAGAATTCTGAATTATGTTTTGCATTTTATTTTTTTGTTCCTTTTTTTGCTTAAGCAAGTCAATATGTGTGTGGTAAACCAAAAGAAACCAATACGTTTTCTGTAATCTGTCATTATCAGACACATATACCTTTGATAATACCACACTCAAAACCATCACTGCACAACCACAGCTTATTGGTCAAAGGAACTGAAATAATCCTCAGTGGTTCCGTGTTGATTGTAAAAGAAGATATTTTTCACATTTTCTTGTCTTTTGTATCATAATGTTTCATAATTTTTTTAGGATTCAACTTCTCTAAAGTTCTTCCTTAATAAATAGATGATAGTAAATCTAAAACTGGTTTTCACTTTACTTATTTGTTCCTTTAATCAGATGATAACATTGACTCACACACAAAATAGGAAATAAAGAATATACAGTAGTAAGTTTTTATTTCATCAAATAGGTTTACTCAGTAGAAGCATTTTGTTGAGCATTTTTTTGTATTTCCAAAACCTAGCAAGTCTCACTGCTGTAAAATAAAAGTTATTATGGCACTGGATAGAAAATCAAGTACAGTACTTTTACTTTATACCCAAGATATTCTGGCCATGCCACAAATGTGGTTGCATAACTGTAATAAAAAAATCACTGTAATTACTTTTGCAGAAATAGCCTACTATAATGTACATGAGTATAGTCCTAAAAATGCTAAAAAACAGTTTATACAAACTAGCTATTTTGGAATGCAGAGTTGAATAATGTTACAGCAGCTTATCATTACCACATTTAGACAGAAGGCAGAATTTACACATTTAGGACACAACATTTCTTAACATTGGGTGAAAATATCAAACAAATTGATTTGAAGAGAATGTGAAAGGGTAAATTAAAGAAACAGATTAAATATATTTATAAAACAGCGGGAACTATTTGTAACCTGTCAGATCAGGGTAAGTAACCTGTGCATTGCTGCTGCTGCATATCCCGAGAGATGTGCAGATCCCACAGTTATATACAGTTCAAAAATAGCACAGTATAGGGGACAGTACTGTATTAACAACTCCTAAACCATGTATTGAATAAGTTTCAATATAAAATATACTGTATTTGTATAAAACATATGATCTGCTTATGATACTTAATGAAACAGAACATATCCACAACAATATTTTTTCACTTCAACAAAAGTCTACACTTTTCCAAAGTTTTCTGTAAAGATTTACATAATGGTTCCTTTAACCCTAACTCAAGAATATTTTTTTTCTCTTGCTGAGAGTAGGTCTTTGTAATGGTTTGCTTTTAAAACCCAGGGACACTTTCTCTGGCTACTGTACATGTTGTAGCAAGCAGTGAACACTTAGTTTTCATATTGTGCCTTTTGTAAGTTTAAGAGCTTTAGTGAGATAGTGAAAACAATAAACAAAAAAGGTTTAGGTTTCAGATAAAGTCTGGTATGTGAGTTGTCACTGAATCATGAATTCCAGAGAAATTCCTCACAAACTTGATTGCCATGATAATGATTGTCCAGCATTTTGACACAGCACCACACGTTACAGTACATGGTTACTACTGGCAAAATTTATAGACAGAATATATCCTGCAGCAACTGTCTTCAACAGGACAAGAGGACAGAAAATGGAAGTAACAATAGAATAAAACTATGTGTTTAAATATGTGGCTCAACACAACAAAATTACTATATGTGGAATTCTATTTGCTGTCGTCATGAAATAATGAAACTATTTTGGATCTGTACTAGTATTTTCCTTAATTAATTTCATATTATGAAAATAAATAACAGTATGATTTTTTAATTATTTCCTGAGTGCCTTAGGCATAAATGCCTTTATAACGGACACCTAGTGATATTGGAGAAATTGGCAATCTGATACTACCTCAAGCTTTGCAAAATTGTGTTGCCTGATACAGTGGTTCACATGTCTAGACTGACAACCAGAACAGCAACTGTCACTGAGTGAATAAACATTTAAGCCATAAATGTGATCATAGTAATTGTTGTGTGATGCTGACATATGTAAATTACCCTGATGCATCAATGTTACAAAAGGTATTTTGCAAAAAAAGCTATGCACTTTGTGGCAAAATGATATTATGACTGCGCCTTTGCAATTTACTTAAAATGAGATCATCACAGACATTTAAATACTGTATGTTTATAGCCTATAATTGCAAAAATAACAACAATTTTCCACATGTGAATCTAGATTTACCATACCCACTCTTAACATTAAAAATCAACGATAAAACATGAAAATAAAGTCAAAACATTACAGACACAAAGTTTCATTTTAATGTCCAGAATATTAATACCATGTCTTTGAAAACATCTTCAAATATACAAAAAGTGCATTTCAAGGTTTTTATCCCAGAACATTTAAACAGTAATTACTACCTATAGCATGAGGAACAGGTTTTGGCCCTAGACTTTGCCTTTCTGCAAGCAGATGTTGACATAAACCTTTGATCCCCCTGTCCAAATAACTTGTTTGTTACTTCTGACAGGAGTAAAGGCTTCTAACTGAATGAAACAAGCACTTTGATGTTGATGACCACCTGTTGTCAACATACTCAGTCTTTCAAATAGTCAACTCCTGTTTTCTGAAAATGTATGCGTATTCTGCTGATTTGTTTAATCTGAAAATTTGTTAAATATTTAATTATTATAGAAGAATTGAAATTTCATAACGATTAACTGAAATTCAGAAGCCAGTGCTAAAAAGGAAGGTACTGAAACTGCAATATACAGCACAGTATTATCTAGTATGTACATACTGTAGATAACATGCCATCTTCATGAAAAGCTATTCGCCATGTACTGTCTTTTAATTTGATTTGTTGTTGATGATACTGTTATGATTCGGTACATCAACAAGAAAGGGATATTTCTCTAGACTACACAGTTCCTCTGTGCTTGTACATTGCCTGGTTTATTCACACATGCACAATTAAATCTGTGATCACTAAAGAGGAAATGCTATTTCACCAAAGTGTCCAATTTTGAAGTTTTGTGGAGTGAGGTGCTTGATTATTATCACATCTACATACAGTATTTGTGATGCCCACATAATGCCCACATGCTAACATGGTACCATACAGTTTGCTCCCATACAAATTAAAAATATGTTTCTGGGTATTCTGAAAACCATTACCTCAGTGAATATGGAGGAGAACAGTTATTTTGTTTACTTGGTGGGGATCTTGAATTCCACTCAGTAACTCTGATCTTTTACCACCATTCAGTGAGTGAGCCCCTAAGTCTCTATTTACTTACGTCTAGGCAGTGTGTATTTTAGGTTCCAGTGTGAACCATGACAACTGGATGTAGGCCAGGAGCATTGCTGTCTGTTCTGGGCAGTCTTTAACCTGAACAACACATATAAAACATAAGAGACAAACTATAAGACTCCCTGTCATTTATGCTAAATAAGCAATGATCTTTGTTCATTACTAAAATTCCACTACTCTCCCTACTCACCATTTGTCCTCTAAACCTGTCTAAAACCTATAATATATATCAAGAGATAAGATAATAAGATTATTCATACTCAAGCTAAAATTATCCCTGTATTGTCTCTCTTGCATGTGCGCTATTCTTGTCCATAGAAATCTCATGACAAAATTCTACAAAATGTATGTTATATTATACCACAGCTTTCCCATGGCCTATGTACTCTACAGTATTAAAGTTCAGTGAATGTATCCTACAATTAAAGAAGACCACAGCAAAACTATTGTAAAACCATGGTAAAAGTGAAAGCAGTCATTGGTAAATTTACCAGAGTAAACATTCATAAGGGCAATACTGCCACAACACCATCAACCATTATTCTGCTTCAAAAATGTCTTCATCCAAATTTCCTTTTCATAGATAACAGTTTAAGGTAACTATCATCCTAGAACAAAGTATTTTGGCTTAACCAACACATTTCTAAGATTTAAATCTGATTGAGCACCTGTGGGATCAGAAGATTAAACACTCGTCAAAATGCTCCATCCCAACACATGGCCTTGTCAAGCTATGAATCACTGTCATGCAAGCATGGAGTGCAGTGACCCTAAATCATGCGAAGATTATGAGACATTATTACCAGGCTGATGTTTTCTCACACAATACTTATAGTTTATTCAATTTTCCGTGTTTGGAGAGCTGGATTGCCTTGTGCAGTGGTCCATATCTTTAACATCACTCTTGTGAGTCTATTGTATGCAGGATTACTGTCAATAAGCAGTTTTGTCTTTTTATCTGGACAAAAGAACTAAACAAACATGGAAACATCCCAGAATTATTATGAGACATGCATTTAATGGCAGGGATGAAAAGCATTGTGCTATGTATTTAATAAAACTAATTAAATGTATTTTATTTTGTCAAAACTGTTATATGTACCTACAGATTAAGTTTTGTTATTTGTACTGTAAGTACCAGTCATAAAGATTGTTTTATGGTCTTGGAATCTTTCAGAACTTGCATCATTTTTCCAATGGTAATGCATTTCAATTTTAAACCCACTCCAAATGATTGTGAGAATTATCTGACAATCTTAAAAACATCTTGAGACTAAAATGGATTATCATTTATCCAATATTTTCAAGAAAACTAAAATGAAATACTCTTCACATGATG